TCTTTCATAGCTCCTTGGTTGAGGTTTGATAATTTGTTTATTTTTCAGTATTTTTGAGACAGAATGTTACTATATAGTTCAGACTGGCCTTGAATTCATTATGTAGCCCAGGCTGTTCTTGAACATGCAGTGATCCTCCTGCCTCAGCCTCCTGATGCTGGGATTACAGGCATATGCCACCATGCCTGGCTGAAGTTTGATAATTTATACGCTGTGCCTAAGGACCTATTCATTTCTTCTAGATTCTGTAATTCAGTGGAGTCCAGGTTTTCAAAATAACGAATAATCTTTTGGATTTCAGTAGTATCTGTTGTGATTTCACCTTATTCATTTCTAATTGCATGGGTATTGATCTTTTCTCACCTCTTTATAAGTTTTACTAAGAGTTCCCATCTGCTTTGTTTACTCTTTTGAAGAGCTAGCTCTTTCATTTATAGCACCAAGTTCATTAATTTTTGGTCTGATCATTATAATTTCTTGTACTAGCTTTGGATTTGGACTGTTCTTATTTTTCTATGACCTTGAGGGGCATTATTATTAGGTTATTTGGGCTTACTCTGTTTTTTGGATGTGGGTATTTACAGCTATGCAGTCCCTCTTAGGGCTGCTTTTATTGTGTCCTACAAGTTCTGGTATGTTGTCTGGTGTTACTGTTTGATTGTAAGAACTGTTTAATTTCTTTCTTTATTTCTCCTGTGATTCACTGGTAATTCAAGAGTATAATAGTTTAATTTCCATGTGTTTGCAAATTTTTGGTTTTTTTTTTGCCATCGATTTCTAGTTTCTTTGAACTATGATCTGGGCATGAGGCGTGAGATAATTTTGATTCTTTTGCATTTACTTAAGTATGTTTTCTGGGTTAGGATGTGACGTATTTTGGAGAAAGTTTGTATTTTATGTTATTGTGAGGAACGCTTTGTAGCTATGTATTAAGACTAGTTGTCAGAAGACATGGTCCAACTCTAATATTTCTTTGTTGATTTTTTTGGTCTAGTTTATTTGTCTATACCTGTGATGATGTTTACTTGATCTCTTATGTCCATTAGTGTTTGTTTTATGAAGTTAAGTGTGCCTGTACCAGTATGCAGTGCATATATAATTAATTCTTCCTGTTGAATTGTTCCCTTAGCCAATACATAGTGACCTTTGTGGTCTTCTCTGATCAGTTTTGATCTGAAGTCCACTCTATCTGAAAATGGGATACCTACTCTTGTTTGCTTTTGGGCTCCCATTGGATGGTATAGTATTTCCTATCCTTTGATTTTTAGTCTATAAATTTCTTTTTGGATTAGCTGTGTTTCTTATATGTAGCATAACATTGGGTTTTGGTTTATGATGCAGTCTGCCAATCTGTATCTTTGACTGGGGAATCGGGAATCTTCACGTTGAGTGTTATCCCTGAACAGCATTTCTGATTCTTGTCATTGCATTAGTTTCCTGTTACTGATTCTCTCCTCTCCCCCTCCTTTTTTTTGGTATCAGGAATCGAACTCAGGACCTTGGACTTGCCAGGCAGGCGCTTATACTGCTGAGCTATATCCCCTTTCCACTTTCTCTTTAAGAGAAAGCTCTCCACTTTCTATTTAATTGCCCACCCTGCCTGGTGTATTCATTGAATTGGACTGTTTGCCATTATTTACTTCATTCTCTCTTTCTAAGATACCTTTGAGAATTTTTTGGGATGCTAGTTTGGTGGTCCGTGAGTTGTTGTTGTTGTTGTCATGGAAACACTTAATTTCTTTGTCAATTTTTTTTTCTTCGTCAATTTTGAAAGATAGTTTTGCAAGATATATTAGTCTGGGTTGGAAGTTATTCTCTTTTAGTTTTGAAATACTTCAAGCTCTCCTTGCTCTTAAAGTTTGTGTTGAAAAGTGTGCTAGAATTCTAATGAATATACATTTGTAAGTGATTTGTTTCTTTTAGCTAACAGTGTTTAAGATTCTGTCCTTGTGTTGAACTTCTGGGATTTCTACTGTTTTTTATTGTAGATTTTTTTTTTGATCATGGGTATTTGGGGTACCATATGCCTCATTTGTCTGTCTCTTTTATATTTTTTGAGACAGAGTCTTGCTAAATTGCTAATTTTCCTACACTGAGCTGGAACTTCATTCCTTCAGCCTCCCGGAGGGCTGGGATTACAGGTGTGCACTACCCCTTCCTATAATTTTCATACCCATCGAGGAAACATTGTCTGGGTGATATTAGGAAAGGAAATGACTTAGTATTCTGGACTACTATGGCCTGTTTGGAAGAGAGGGATGATTCTTCTGTCTCACTGATATCTAGCAGGCCCTCACTATGTGCTCTATTCCATTTTTCTGTGTCTCCTCTCAGGCTCCTGAGAAGCTGAGGGGAAATGGAACATGGCTGGTGACAGAATTTGTGCTGGTGGGATTCTCCAACCTCCCACACCTGAGGACCACCCTCTTCACGTTGTTCCTCCTCACCTACCTGGTCACCCTCAGTGGCAATGTCACCATCATCACCATCATCCATGTGGATGGGACCCTGCACACGCCCATGTACCGCTTCCTGGCGGTGCTGTCCCTCTCTGAGACCTGCTACACGCTGGTCACCATCCCCAATATGCTGGCCCACCTGCTGATGGAGAGCCAGGCCATCTCCATCCCCGCATGTCGGGCTCAGATGTTCTTTTTCCTGGGCTTGGGATGCAGTCACTGCTTCCTCCTTACCCTGATGGGTTATGACCGGTATGTAGCTATCTGTCACCCCCTGAGATACTCAGTGATCATGAGACCCACTGTCTGCCTCTGCCTGGGAGCCTTGGTTTTCTGCTCTGGGTTCTCAGTGGCCTTGATTGAGACCTGCATGATCTTCTCCTCACCCTTCTGCCGTGGGGACCGCGTGGAGCACTTCTTCTGTGACATCGCCCCGGTGCTGAGGCTCAGCTGTACCCAGAGTGCTCGCAAAGCCCTGGGCATCTTCTTCCTGAGTGTCCTTGTGGTGCTGGTCTCTTTCCTCTTCATCCTGCTGTCCTACGCCTTCATCGTGGCTACCATCGTGAGGATGCCCTCAGCCACCGGCCGCCACAAAGCCTTCTCCACCTGTGCCGCCCACCTCACCGTGGTCATTGTGCATTTTGGCTGTGCAGCCATCATCTACTTGCGTCCGGACTCTGGGGCCAACCCTGAACAGGATCGCCTGGTGGCGGTGTTCTACACGGTGGTGACACCGCTGCTGAACCCTGTGGTGTACACCCTGCGCAACAAGGAGGTGAGGGTGGCCCTCAGGAGGACCCTGACTCGTGACTGTGGAGGTTTGCGGTAAGGACTAGGTGTCCCTCATTCATGGCACACTAAATTTTCAATAACCCCTGTCACTCTCGAGACTCAGTTTCCCCACCTAGAAAATAGGGACGCGTCTCATACCAAGTGAAATAGACTGTTGTCTAATAGTGCCTGACAGTAGCATAAATTCAATAAAACGTGTCTTTTCCTTGTCTTTGCTTCCTTGACTTTGCTTCCGGTTATATGATCTAACAGTGCCTAACTCTGGCCAGGCGAGGGCGTCACTGAGCCTGCCCCAGTTTGGTCAACCCTGGAGAGCGAGTTAGGTCAGTAGAGAAGGACCAACACTATGTTTAGCATCCTTGCATTTTGTCTAGGAAGTTCTTTTTTGTTTTTGGTCGCCAGCCTTTGTTTATTCTGTTAGAATTTCACACTTAAATGCTATTATTTTCATTATTATCTTCTAGGTCTTTTTCTCTTTCTTTCTTCCTTTTGTGCTGGGGATTGAATCCAGAGATTTCACACTGAGCTACATACCCACTACTCTTTACTTTGTATTTTGACCCAGGGTCTCACTAAGTCACTACATTGCCAGTTCTAGACTTGAATTTGCAATTCTCCTGCTTCAGCCTCCCAGAGTGCTGGGATTATAGGTGTGCACCACCATACCTGGCTCCATTGTATCCTTAACTGTTTTGTTGTAGCTGAGAGAAAATGCAAGAGTGATTAATGTTTTTTTCATTTTTGCAGGAAGTACACACCATACAGTTTGCTGCTTTACCCATTTTTAAGTGTAAAATGTCTATAGTATTAACCACATGTACAATGTTTTTTCTTTGTTTTTTACAAATATCACCATCATCTCTTTCCAAAGCTTTTTAATCACCCCAAACTCATTGTCATTGTACTTATGAAGCAGTGACTGCCCATTTCCTCCTTCTGTTGGTCCCTGGTAACTTCTAATCTGCTGTCTCCATACATTTCCAAATCTAGATATATTATCTAAGTGGAGTCATACACTATATATCTTTTGTGTCTGGTTTATTTTAACATGATATTTTCAAGGTCCACCTATATTGTTGCATGTGCCGAAACTTTATTCCTTTATCACTTCTAGTAGTGAAGATTGAAACCAGGGCCTTGCATGTGCTAGGCAAGTTCTATATCACTGAGCTACACCCTCCAGGTTTTTTTTTTGAGACAAGGTCTTCAAGGTTGCCTGGATGGCTCTGAATGTACGCTCCGCATGCCTCATCCTTCTGAGTAGCTGGTATTAAAGGTGTGCCCCATCACCCCTGGCTGAATACTGTTTTGTTGTATAGATGGAGCACATTTTGTTTGTACATTCATCTGTTTGTGGGAATTTGGGTTGTTTCCACATTTTGGCTATTATGAAGCATGGAATTGTGAACATTAGTATATGAATATGTGGTTGAGTCTCTATTTGCAGCTCTGTTGGCTATATAAGTAGGGCTGGGATTTTTAGATCATCAAGCAATTCTATGTTTAAAATCTGAGGCATTACCAAATGGTTTTCCATTAAAATAATGCCTGAACTATTTTACGTTTCTACTAGCCGGGTGCAAATGTTCTGATTTCTCCACATCCTTGCTGACACCTGTCATTTTATGTTTTAATTAGCAATAATCGTGTCTTGAATAAGGTTCACTGGCTATGACACTGCCACTGTGCAAAGCCTGTCATTTTATAGTTTAACCACTTACCAGTCCAATTATTTAAATATTAAGACCAAAACTTGCATATTTTTGTTAATTTTATAAGATAACAGAAAATACAAAAATGTCAATATTATCAAATTTAATCAGTAATTTTCCTGAGTATAGTGTATCTTAAAACATCCATTACAAAACACAATCTGGACAGTAGCATCTAGTCTTTTTCCAAATCCTTTTTGCATTATTGTCTTTCTTTGAACAACACACCTTCATGCTGTCCTTTCCCTTTTTACGGTGAGTGGTAGAATTTCAATAAAATGTCTCCCCACTGAGTGCAGTGGCAAAGAGTTGGTGATGGATGTCCAGGTTGGCATTTTGCTATCCCATATTTTTCAATCATTTGGTCTCCTTGACCTCATCTAAATTCTAAATGACTTTTTGACCCTCCTTGTTTGGAACAAATAGCCAATAAGTTCCTTACTGTTTGGTCTAGAAGGTGCATAAATACTGTATAATGTTTTTCCTTGTTTTGACTACAGGGTAGCTTCTTAGATATTGGTCAACTCTTCAACACCACCCATAGAATGGTTATAGTCATTGACCACTTTTGGAATTTTTTTAGTTTCATTTCTTTCAAGTTCTATCATTTCTACATTATGAAGAGTTGACAATAAGGAGATGTCTTTTTTTGTCTTTCCATTTTGTAACACAGACTTTTCCTCTCTGATAAGCTAACATTTCTCTCTTTTCCAGATCTTTCTTTTGCACATTTTTTGGCACTTTCTTCCAATTCAGCTCAGTGTCCAAAACAGGCCTATTTTGTATTGGAAAAGAATATCACTGAATTCTGGAGAAGTATAAAACTTATATCTAACATACTTTATGATAAGACTTTTTATAGATTATAGTGTAAAATTATTGGCTATTTTTCATGAGCAAAATATACACAACTTAGTAAAAGAAAATAACAAGAACTTACTAGATTCCACTGGAAACAAACATCAAAGGGGAGTACAATGTTCTAAATAAAAAGTGTGTAAAAATAGTTGATATAAAACAAGCAGACCTGTGAGTGTATCTAGTGCAAATAAGAACTGACTGGCTGAAATGACATCTTTCTGAGTGACACTTGAGATAGTCAATATGTAAACAAACACGCTGCCTGAGTGACACCTGGGATCAACTCTTAAGTTCTGAAAACATTCCAGCCATCCTATTAAATGGAAGGCAATGTCTTCTGCTTTAATAGCTTTCTTTTGCTTAATCAAACATTGGGGATGGGTTGAAATCATTCAAAGTATCCTCTTTGGCCATAATAGAATGAAATGAGAAATTAGTGACAGAAAAAAATTCAAAAGCAGGAAGAAATTAAACAACTCTCAAAAAATTAAATACTCTCAACCTGTCTTAGTTATTTTTTTATTACTGAGACAAAGTACCTGACACCCGCAAGTTAAAGGAGGAAAGATTTATTTCAACTCACAGTTTGTAGAGACTTCAGCCCATAATTAGCTGGTCCCAAGGCATGGCAGCATGGCAGAAGGGCATCACAGAGGAGAAACAGTCCATGTCAAAGCAGGCAGGAAACACTGAAGCAGCAAACAGCAGGAACAAGCTTCTTTCTTTCTGTCCCTTTATAGTCCATCCAGGCTGCAAGTCTACTGATTGGTGCAACTCACACCCAGGGTGCGCCTTCCATTATCCACACCCAGAACTATGCTAAGACAATTTAGTTATTACACATCCATAATCCCAGTATCACATACTGTAGATCCAGCACGACACACTTATGAGCCAGCCACCCATCAGGAGCCCCACCTATGAGCACATGAGGCTTTAGAGGGCACCAGATACAAGCCATAACACAACCATAGGTCAAAGAAGTCCTTATATTCATTACTTAAAGATGACTGAAAAGGAACGCACAATATACCAAAACTTATGGAATACAGCAAAAGCATTGCTCAGAGGGCAATTCATAGCTATGAATGCTTACTTTAAAGAAAAAGAAAGATCTCAAATCAAAAGCCTAACCATACATTGCAAGGAACTAGAAAAAGACCTTGCTAAACACTGGTGATGAAGCTGATGCCATGAGAATCTTCTAAGAAATTATGTTCTGTATTCATCTTGTAGTTCAGGCTGGCCTTGAACTTCCTATGCAGCTCAAGCTGGTCTTGAATTCAGAGCAGTCCTCCTGCCTCAACCTCCCAAGTGCTTGGGTTATAGGTACACACCACAATACCTGGCCTTCTTGATTCTTCTTGAGTGAACTTTTTTTTGCTGCTTCTGTCTACTGTCCATGGACATCACTCACAGGCTTCTTCAGTATTTCAAACGGACTCACACCAGAGACTTAGTTTGGGCACCGAGAGGACCCAGAGGGGCCGATTCCAAAGTCTCAGGAAAAGAACAGTGAGCTGAGACTGCTGTAGTTATTTACTTGTAACTCGAGGATATGAAGACAAAGATGGAGAAGAAAAGCATTTGCAACAGGTTGCATAGGAGTTTTTGTCAAGGGACAGGGCCAGAATGGAACGGTTTATTATGTGACACACATTGACCTAGTTTAGGCGGCCTTATCAGGCTAGGAGGGAAACAATAGCCAAAGCAAACAACTCTAAGAATAAACTGCTTTTAATTCTGCTGACTGTTGTCCTGCTCTAAATTCTAACATGCATTCTAGGAGGACAGGAACTGTTGTTTCCAAGGTCCCTTCCTTATCACACTCAATTTCAATCACTCCTTTGGCTGTTGTCGCCTCACTCCTGGTCTCTTTTATTTTGAGGTTTCCAGTTCCCTGGATTGAGGAGCTACTGTTTTTCCTAGCTCGCCATCTTTTAGATAACCATGGGGGGGGTGTTATCCATCCTCTGATCATGTAAGCCAATGTGATAATTCTTTTTTTATATTCTATTGGGCTATTCCTCCAGAGAAGCCTAAAACAGATGTTTATCTGTTTTTTATTTCTACTGTTCATTTGCATATTCAAATATCGCGTGATTATGTGACTGCCATGGGGACACTGTTTGGAAAATGCTCAGCAGATGTGTTTGTTGAGTTCTGTGCCACTTTCCCATCAATCCTATTCCCTTGGAGTTATTCTGGTCCCACGGAGAGAAGAGGGCAAAGCCCACTTCAGGAAAGGGTGGGAGAATCACCCTTTTCTAGTGCCATAATAACAGGAGGAGAGATACATTTTGGAAAAAAGTGGTCAGATGCTTGGGGTCCTACAATACAAAGAGTATGGCAGAGAGCCTCTGAGACCGTCCCTAGTGACCTCCTATTCTGGTACGCACGACCTCATGTCATTTTCTTTCCTTGAGTAACTTGTTTCTGCCTCTCACATATGAAAATATTGAACAAAATAATTTTCATGACCAGGTGAGAAACATTCGGATAGCTCTCTTGCTAGCAATCTGTCTTGCTGGCTTTGATGTGGCTGGATGCCATTATTTTTTGTGGTGCTGAAGATGGAACCCAGGACCTTGCATACGCTAAGCAAGTGCTCTACTGCTGAGCCATACTCCCAGGCCCGGGCTGTCATTTTGGACAGGTCCATTAATTAGGCAAGAAGTTGAGAGTAGCCTCCAGTTAACAGCCGGTGAAAACTGGAAGCCTTTAGTCCAAGTTTTTAAAGAACTGAATTCAGCTTAAAACCATGTAAGCACACTAGGAAAAGAATGTTCTCTTTCTTGAGCTTCACAGGAAATCTCAACCCTGCAT